CGCCCGGGCCCCGGGAGCCGCCGCGCCGCGCCGCAGCCCGCCGGGCCGGAGGGGTTTCGCGCTCGGAGCCATGGGGCTGCTGGCCCTGGAGTTCAGCGACTGCTACCTGGACAGCCCCCAGCTGCGCGACCGCATCCGCGCTCACGAGGCGGAGCTGGACCGGACCAATAAGTTCATCAAGGAGCTGCTCAAGGACGGCAAGACCCTCATCGCCGCCACCAAGAGTAAGCCTGCGGCTTGCGGCAGCGGCTGGGGCTCGGGGTTTGCCCGCTGCCCCCCGCGCTCCCTGCTGCCCTCGCCCCCTTCCCGCCCCGGTGAGCCCGGCCTGCACCTCCCGGGTGGGCTGTTACTCCTGGGTGGGCTGCTTGCACCAGCAGCTCCCTCTGCGCTGTGCTGCCCTGCCCCGGTAGAGAGGCCTGCTTTGCTCCAGTTTCCAAGCCTCAGCCAGCCCGAGATCCTGGATAAAATACCTATGCGGATGCAGGCACGCATGCACAGATACATGTACAAATCTGCTCCTTCCCCCCTGGCGCTCCCCTCGGGAGGGCTGGTTTTGTTCACTCACATGAGCGTTAGGTTCGAAGCAAGGTATGGAGTGGGCATTCCTGCGTGGGTGGCAGGCAGTGCCAGTCTTGCTGGTGAAAGGCTTGGGGGTGGATTAAGGTTAATTTGGGCCCACCTCCCCCCAGCACCCTGCCTTGCAGCCAAGGGCGCTCTCCCCAGCTGGCGCAGCAGGAACTGCAGCCAGAGCAGGACGTGCTGGTCCCCAGGCCTGGGGTAGAAGCCGTGGGCACCCCTGCCCACAAGTCTGCTCTGAAGCTGGAACTGGGGGTGGGGAGCCACTGTCTGCCGGGCATGTGCACCACAGACTGAGCTGCGTTGCCCTGCCGCAGCTCAGTCTGGCAGTGGCAGCACCCAGCAAATGGTGCCCGGCAGCCGCAGCCTGCTGTGTTGGGCACACCGGGACCAACCTGGCTGCTGGTTTCATTTGCACCAAGGCAGGGGTCACTGGACTTGGGACCAGCTGGCCCGTGTGCCTGTGCCGGGAGTTTCTGAATATGCAGAGATGGCATTGGGGGGTGGCGGCAAAGCTTTGTTTCCCAAGGGTGCCTCAGGCCTCTCGGAAGTCAGTGGACCTTTCCCCCATGAATTGTGTGACTTTCACCGGTAGGAGCACAGTGGAGATGATTTGGTTTTGGTGGGATGCTTGGCTGTTGAGGTACTTGATTTTCTACCTTTTTGCAGGCACCCTCGACACCTGCCCCTTTTGCCAACAGAGAGAGACCTCTGTGCATGCCTACCTTGAGTGTGCCGGGTTGCAACCTCTCTTCCGCCTCCTCCAGAACCTCCTGCTGAGGTTTTGGCTGCACTTCTATTTGTGCTTTTTTGTTTATGCGCTCCCCAGTTGTGGCCCCGTGAAGCCCCAAGATTTCCTGGTCCATCTTCACCTGGGCCTAGCCAAGCTAGCAATTTATTCCTGACCATAAAAGAAACTCTGGTGGGGGGTGGGGAACCTGGGTGAACGTGGGGCTGTCTTCCTCTTACGCCTTTGCTCATGTTTCCAGGCAGAGTTTCACTGGTTGGAGTCCACAGGTTCCCTCTACTCATTCAGGGGGCAGTGGGTGCTGGCTGAATACCGTTGTTGTTTTGAACCTGTGACCTCCCTCCCCTTCCTATTTAAAAAAAAAAAAAAAAAA